CCGCCAGCGCCAAGCGGAAGCAGGAGGAGAAGCACCTGAAGCTTCTGCGGGAGATGAGCAGCCTCCCGCCCAACCGCAAGTGCTTCGACTGCGACCAGCGCGGCCCCACCTACACCGACATGACGGTGGGGAGCTTTGTGTGCACCTCCTGCTCCGGCATCCTGTGAGTGCGGCCGGGCCGGGTGCGGGGGGGGGCACGGGTCGCGTGGGGTGTCCGCCCTTGGCGGGTGCTTCGCTCCCTCCCTGCTCTTGTGCCAAGGCCGGGAGCCGCTCGTGATTTCGCAGGGCTGTGTGACCGTACCAGCAGCGATGCTTAGTTTGCCGTGGGGCACTGAACCGGATAGCGGCCTGGTTTCGCTACTTTGGGCGGGGGTGGCACTGCAACTATTAACCACAGTGAACGTGAGAAATCCGTTAGCTTTCTGCTTTAATATGTTCCTTACGCTCCCTTTTTGGGTGCACCACAAATCCTCTTCATTTTATCTACTGCTTTGATTGTGCTTAATGTTATAGGTGGTTCATTCATTTCAGTACTGGAAAAATGGCTATACAAGGCTTAATAATTTGGATTAGGGGAGTCAGGGTCATAACGTTATTCATATGATTAAATGCTTGCAAGATCGGAGCCTAACCAGTGCAAGTGTCTGTAAGATTGAGTCCTAAATCACTTACAATTTTTATAACTGAAAATATAGGAGTAAGGATTAGGGGAGTCAGGGTCATAACGTTATTCATATGATTAAATGCTTGCAAGATCGGAGCCTAACCAGTGCAAGTGTCTGTAAGATTGAGTCCTAAATCACTTACATTATTCCTATATTTTCAGTTATAAAAATTGTATTTAAACAATCTAAGATGAATGTTTGGGAGGGAGGAAAGCAAACTTTAGTAATTATCATAATTTCAGGAAAAGACAATGGAAAACATAAGTCTCTAGAATAAATACTGGAAAAGTACCTGTTAAGGTAACCATTGACTTATTTTTCGATACATATGTTAGGTCACAGAATTGTAAGGTATGAAGGATCATGGCATAGGACAAGCTTTGTGGAAAGCGAGGCTGTTAAACAATTTGCTAATATAAATTAGTTTTCTTTTATCAGATTAAAGTTTAGACTGTAAAAAGTTCAGGAAATTGTCTGGTAGAAAGTTACCATTGTCACATGAACGAGCTTAAGCTGTCTAAAGTCACTGGAAATGAAATGGACTTTTAAAACTTAAGAATGTTTTTCCCTATTGCTGTACTAAAATACAGAATTAATTCTTTATAAATTGCTTACATATGTGTTGTACAGATAAAGCTGTTGGATTCTTAATATACCTTCCGTTGGATCCTTAATATACCTTCCTTTTGCCCACTCTAATCCCACATCAAAAAGATATGTGCAACATGAAATCCAAAGCATTGAAAAAGTCAGGGTTTTTTTTCAGGTTTTTTTAAAGGCTATCTTGCAAATGCATCAGTCTAACTTTAGTTATGTGAGGAGTCATATTGACTTTAGTGAAACAGCTTTGCATGTACAGATGTTTACAGGTTTGAGTTCTACAGGATGAAAAAATTAGAGAAGTACGTTGGTGTTTAGGCAGTAAATATTATTCATTAGATAAGTTGGAGTTTGTAGATTGAAGTCAGAAATCCAAATAATCAGTGTTTAGGCCTCTATATCTAATGGGAATGAAGGAAGGGTGAGTGTGTGAGAGAGCTATTTTAAACTAGGGATATAAAATCCCATTTAGTTAACTGGTTAAACAGGAGGCTGGCAGGCAGTGCTTTTATTATTTAAAAAAAAACCCCAAAACGGTGCCAGTACTCTAGGGGAAAAATTGTTGAGTGAGCTCTGACTGGAGGTGCCGGTACTGCGTGCTGGGCAGTACTGTCACAAAAAAACACTGCTGGCAGGAGTAGCGGGGGAAGGCGTGCTGCAGTTGGGCTGGAATAGAGTGGCTTCCTACATTGAGTGGTTAAATGGTAGGGCACCTGTGCACATCCCTATTGTAAACTAAGTGTGGTTGTATAACACTGGTAGCTTTTCTTTTTTTAAACAAGGCAAACTAGTCAGTTCCATGTTAAATTTCCTTTGAACAAGCTGCCTTTTATATCTCTAGACTCCTACTTAATCTTGCTTTTCCCTTTTAATTGTCTTGCACAGATGTGTATACTTGTATGAATGCCATTTAAAACTGAAAGGTGAGCTCCAGTTATGGAATTGAAAAACATGCTTTCAAGTTGAATATATACTTGGCCCTCAAGCAATCAACTCAATACATTTTGTGCTTGTATTCAATACTATTTTAAGATGCTGCACATAAGCTTAACGACTGCATATGTTCTTTCTGCTTAAACTGACTGCACGCTTACATTACTCACAACAATACTATTTTGAATTGGCAGACTGGCTATTTTAAATAAACATGAGCACACATGATATAGAAAAAAATGATTTCAGCGATCTCAGTTGAGATGCAAGAGGCTTTGGATCACTTTTAGCTCACTGGTTAAGCTACTATTTATGGACCACTTATAGTCTACAGACCTCAGAATGGCCATACTGGGTCACAGCAAAGGTCTATCTAGCTTAGTATTCTGTCTTCCGACAGTGGCCAATGCCAGTGTCCCAGAGGGAATGAACTGAACAGGCAATCAAGTGATCCATCCCATTGCCCATTAGGGATGTGAAGGACTAGTTGACTATCCGATAAGCAAATGCTTATTGGATAGTCAAAGGGATAGTTGACTAGTCGCTCCCCTCCCCCTTGCTGCCTCTATCAGATAGAGCAGTGGTTCCCAACGTGGTGCCTGTGGGCGCCATGGCGCCCACTGGGCCATTTCTGTGTGCCCGCTGAATGATTGGGGCTGGCCCCGGACGTGCGGCACATGGGTGGACTCGCTCCCAGATGCGCGGTGCAAGGGCTGTGCCGGCCCTGGGCACGCAACATTTGGGCGTCCCCGCCCCTGGGCACGTGGCACAGGAGCAGCGCCGTCCCAGGCGCGTGGCGCATAGGCGCTGCCAGCTCCTAGACGTGCAGCACAGGAGTGGCGCCAACGCCGAGCATGCAGTGCATGGGCTGTTCTGGCCCCAGTCATGTGGCGTATGGGCAGCCCCACGCCTGGGCATGCGGCACAGGAGCGGCGCCGGCACCGGCGCCAGCCCCAGGAGTGCGGCGTATGGGTGGCCTTGCCCCTGGACCTGGGTGTGGCACCGCCCCCAGGTGCCCAGCAGCCCCAAAAGGTTGGGGACCACTGAGATAGAGGCAGCAAGGGGGCGGGACAAGAGAGGGGTACTTCAAAGGCAACTCCGTACGGAGCCCGGAGTTAGCTGCTCCATGCAGCGCTGCCGCTCTGAAGGCCGCAGGGAGCTTGGTGTCAGGCTCCTTGTGGCATTTCAAAGTGGCCATTGGGGACCACTGAGATAGAGGCAGCAAGGGGGCGGGACAAGAGAGGGGTACTTCAAAGGCAACTCCGTACGGAGCCCGGAGTTAGCTGCTCCATGCAGCGCTGCCGCTCTGAAGGCCGCAGGGAGCTTGGTGTCAGGCTCCTTGTGGCATTTCAAAGTGGCCATGCCATGTGGATCCCAGGATCAGCTGGGGTCTCCCCAGCTGACCTTTGGCTCCATGCCTTGATGCTACTTTGAAATTCCATTGGGAGGTCAAAGCAGCAGCCCTGCATGGAACTTGGGATCAGCTGGGGACTCGGTGTGGTGCTGTTGCTATAATTCTAGGGCCGTTGCTACACTTCAAAGGCGGAGGAGCCCTATTGACTATAGTTACCCGATACTTAACATCCTTATCACCTATTCCTAGCTTCTGACAGAGACTAGCGAGTTGCATAGGTTGATTGTGAATTGTATGAAGAATTACTTCCTTTAAACCTGCTACCTATTAATTTCATTTGGTGACCCTTAGTTATTTACTTCTTTGCATAACACAAGAACTCTTCTAGACTACAATTAAGATGCAGGGTTCACCCACAGCAAGTCAGACTGCAGGATGTGGGCTGCTAATTGTCTAGCCACTACACGTACAAACAAATATCTGAAGAGACAAAGATATCCTTTGAAGGAGAGATTCTCAGTATTTTTAATATCTTTTAGTCTTCTAATTAAAAAAATCAAGTTCTCACTGTTTCAATATATGCAATATGTTAAAATCTTAAGGAAGTGGCTACTGTTTTTTACAAATAGAGTACAGGCAGTCCCCGACTTACGCGGATCCGACTTATGTCGGATCAGCAGTTACGAACGGGGCTGCCCCAGAGTAGACGGACTGTGGGACCTCGCGGTCCTGCCGCCCGTGTACTCTGGGGCTTTCTCTGCGTCTCCCTGGTCTGCCGACCC